CTGATTTCTTTTATAAAGCCGCTTTATTTGTTAATTGGCTAAAATGAAGCGAAGCAACAGCAAACTAATTAAATCCTCATTGTCCAACAAGCTAACCAGCATCCTTTGTGGTGGGTCATCAAGTAGTTGCAGAAGTAGTTAAATATTTTACTTTAGAAAAAAGAAAGTAGAAAAAGCAAATACAATAAAAGGTTGGTGGAGTAAATGTTGACCTAAATATGAGTGTACTTGTTTGTATGTGTTTTTTTTTATTATATTGATGATTTATATACACATGTATAACAAAATATCTGCCACAGTTTATCATTTAATTCCTCTTTGTAGCTAAACTGAAGGTGTAAATCTCCCGTTTTATTGCCATATTCTGACTGTAGTAATAAATAAGTTTTCTTGTACCCACAAACTTTATCATTTTTTATAGTTGAGATGAATTTTTTTGTATTTTTGTACCCACTGTGTCTGTCTCTGCTGTAGGATTTAGAAATGTCACTCAAATCCCCGCAGAGAGCAGAAAAACACATCGAACCTCTCACTGACTCTCAGCTGAGCTCTAAATGTTCTCTTCAGAATTGGAAGTAAATGTTTTTTTTTTTAATTTGTCATATCTCTTATGTAAAACATATGTAGGGCGTGTGACCAATCTGACAGTTCCTGAGGGTTTTTTTTGTTTTACAGTAACTGGATAGTTAACTTAAATTAAAATTTAGAAAGAAGGAGAAGAAATAAAACCACAGTCTACATGTGACTTATGACACACATCTATGATAATGTTGCATTTTCACCCATTTTATTTGGATGTCTGTCTCGTGATCAGGACAGAATGACAAATTGATTATTTTGCTGGTATCGCTATTAACTAAGGAAAAGATTAGAGCAGTCATTACATGTGGTTCTATTTGATTTAGAAACAAAACACTGCAGATCCGTCAGGAATCCTCAGGGTATGTTTTGTTCAGACATGAGCTCTAAATACGAAGGTAGAACTGGCAAAGTCAAAGAAAGGATGGGACCAACTATTTAGTAGAAGTCATTAAAAAAGTTTCTATTTTTGAACTTTCTTGTTTTTGTGTTTGTTTTCCTTTGATATTTTCCATCCCACTTAAAGCTGCTGGATTTTTACTTGCATGTACAAACAGAAAAACATCCGTATGTATGAAGCTAGACTAACTTCACTGGATTAAGGAGTAAAAGAAGTCCTTGTTCACTGCAACAGCTTATATCATGCAAATAAAGGATTATTTGTTCTTTTGTAACTTTGCCTGAGAAGCATAATAATATTATCATTATCTGAAAGTCTGGATACACTCCAGCAGATGCCTGAGATAATTTATTGTGCCTAATCTTGCCATGTCATCCAAGCATGAAGGGTGATGCACAGAGAGGCCTTGCGTAAATGTTTCCTGACTCACACCTTTCAGGAGCCACACCATTTTTAAGGTATCTGAAGACATTTTTTTTATGTCTGCTAAAGAAGGTTTAACTTGCCTTTGTGTTTAATCACCACACCCCCTAATGTAACATGAAACGTTTTGACAGCGTAGGTTAAAAAAAAAAGGCATTGCCTGTAAGACAAAACTCAGGGGAAAATACCATATTAATGTTGGACTTGTTTCAGCTTCACAGTAACTCTGTCCTGTGGGATTTTCAAAGTAAAACCTCTGCAACAAATGAGTGGATTTACTAATAAATCCCGTAAATAATTTAGAAACTGAACAGTTGTAACTCGATTTTAGAAAACATCACTTATGACATGATGTAAGCGGATAAGTGCAGGAAGGCAGAGTACATTTTTAGTTGGATGGGTTACACCTGATGACAGAGCAGTCTAATTGAGGAATGCATAATGGCTGCACCTTTATGACTGTGTGTTAAACTAAGATGATTTTGAAAAGATAAGAAACTGAGTTGTAGTCGATTTGATCAAACCTCATAATTTTTTCTTTCGGCTGCTCCCTTCTTCAGGGGTCGCCACACCAAACTAACTTGCATGAAGACTTGGTGATTGTTTTTACACCGGATGTCCTTCCTGATGCAACCACAAACCACCGCGATACCACAGCCCTGAGCTGCTATCTAGGGTGTCCGGGGGAGCAGATGGTGGGGGTTAAGGGCCTTGCTCAAGGGCACAGAGTGGGGCAAATGAGGGTGGAGGCAGGTGAGAGTGCTTCACAGTTGCCCACCCACATTTTGATGTTGTCGGTACGAGGAGTTGAACCGGCAACCTTACAAACCTTGTGTTATGCACATTATTGCAAGAGTTTGCTACATCTGTTAGCACGTGTTGAGAATGACTCCCTCCTACCACAACCAACTTCAGCTCAAAGCCTGTTACAGCCAGTTTTGTATTTGTTATGGTCAGCTGTGGCAGCCATCTTGAATTGGGTTGACAGTAAAAGGTAATCTGCTGTAGACATACATCCAATGATTCCTTTCTTAAAGGTTTTTTTAAGTCCATTCTGTGGTTTAAGTTCAAGTTCAAAATTAACTTTGTCATTCACGTCACTTGTGGTACATGAGGTGGAACAAAATTATGTAGTCAGGGTCCCAGTCACACCCAAAAATAGCAAAATATATCTAAGATATACGCTAAACAAACGCCAAACAGTACATTCAAAGATCAAAGATATACACTAAACAGTAATAATGTAAAACAATATGGCGTAACAACAGCAGCACGAACATGAGTCTGTGGTGAGCAGATGGATATGAATGAATACAGCAGCATGAGATAATCAGATTTATGAGATATTTTGCAAAAAGACGTACTGACTAATATTAATGCCAATGTTTTAAGCAAATGTAGATGTTGTGCTGTATGTCCAGCTTAGAGAGTATGTTTTATGAATTAGTCTCAATTATTAGAATAGAATAGAATAGAATAGAATAGAATAGAATAGAATAGAATAGAATAGAATAGAATAGAATAGAAACAGCCTTTATTGTCCCACGGATGGGAAATTCAAATGTAACAGCAGCAACAGATAAAAAGATTTCACACAAAAGTTCCTAAATGTTAAAAACAATACAATATATAAAGAAACAAGATAAACAAAATCAATACTAATGTTCAATATGTATTGGAACATTGATAAGGACAGACTATTGACAGTACAGCGTTATAGGCAGAGTGTGTGTTTTAGCAGAGGTCAACATGTACCACTCCAATTTTTGGCTAATTAGTTGTAAAAATGTCAGAGTTATAGCAATTTTTGTGTTTTCTAAAATGGCAGTAGTGGAGTTCTTAAATTGGGTTGGCTCCAGAATTTTTGCTAACAGACTGATATAGTTGACTCCAATAGTTGATAGAGAAGTTTCAATACAGATTTTGTGTGATCATTTCTCATTTCATGCAGAATACCAAATTGTAGTTCAATATCTGTCAACCTGACTGAGTTATAGTCATTCTGTGTTCTGTGGCAGCCATTTTGAATTGGACTAACTCCATATTCACTCCACAGCGAATCAGGACATAGTCCACATCACTCTTTACTATACAGCATCCATGTGTTAAACAACGACTGAACTCAATCGACTGAATTAATTTATATCATATATTTGAAACATTCAACAATGAGAATATGGAGAGATGACTGAATCAGCATCAGCCCAGTTATGTCACAGTGTACGTGACACTTTTTAGAAAAAGAAATCCCTTAAAGGCTTTGTTTTCCAGCACTTTAAGTCAAGTTGTTCAGTCAGGACCAGCTCAGGACCAGTTAGAATTTCCACAGCTGCCCCAAATCCCAACAACTGTCCAGCACTGAGAAAAAAAATCCAAGATGCATCTGAAAATTTTCAAGAACCCCAGTCACGACTGCAGTTTTTGTACTGAACTAGAACTGAGAGCTTTGCTTGTTGTTGCAGTATTTGAGCTGCTCCACTTTACTGAAAGGAGTCTGCTGAAGTGGTTCCGGTGTCTGATTAGGATGTTTTCTGGGTGCCTTTTTTATTTTGACACTCCCCGCAAGGAAGAGGCAAGTAGCACAGGAGCATCATCATCATCAGACTGCAGTTTACACTCATCTGCAACCCAGCAGTTACTCAGAGATGATGATGTGCACACCATTAGAGAGGAACCCAGCTATCTTTGTGAAGATAACCTGCCCATCATTAAACAGGGACAGGGGTCTCCATGTTCAACTGTCCCCCTCTTACAATGCTGTTATTGCAAGTATCACTCAGCCCCCTGTGAATAGCAAGTGACCATCAGTGTACTAACGTGTATGGTCCCCCTTTTTACATGTGAACAGCTAGTTCTGGCTGTCAGAAGCAAACTGGTTGAATGCCACTGTAGTGTCACTTGATTGTTGATGTGCTGCTGACTATCCATGCCATTGCTTACTGACTTACATCCATTACTGTTTACCTTTACAGTTACTTTTGTTGGATGTAACTGGGACCATGTGTACAATTTTGTTCCACCACATGTACCACATATGATGTGAATGACGATAAAGAAACCTTGATCCTTGATCCACTATGAGAAGATGCTATTTATAAGACTGAGTTTGTTGCAGCTCCTCAGACTGAAGAAGTCTTTTGGATAAAACATGAAAAGTTTCAACAAAGAAGAATTCGTCCAGAGGGCCTGAATCAACCTTATTAGATTTACCCACCTGGATTATTGAGCATGCATCAGGACATTTATAAATTCAATAGTGGCATATGTTAAAAGTAGGAAAAGGTTAGCAAAAAATTAGTAAAATGAACACAGTGTTTGCTAAAACAGCTAAATGCTGGCTAAAAGAAGAAAAAGGCAAGCTAAAAAACAAAGCTAAAATAAACAAAACACTAACCGAAGAAAGCGCAAGAACAAAACTAGAGGAAGTAGTATCCTGATGCATGTTCAATAATCCAGGTAGAAAAATCTAAAAAAAAAAGGTTAAGTCTGGCCCTCTGGACGTTCAAAAAAAAAAAAAAAAAAAAAGGAAGTAGTTTTATTTCGAAGGAGCTAACAGGAAGTCCGTTTCTCTACTGTCTACCTTGACGTCAGTGACGTCATCCTGGCAGCGGTTTGTTAGCTCGCAGGGGTGTGGCAGCCAGCCTCATTCGCGTCTAATTATTCATCCGCATCGAGAGGACAAGAAAACGCAGCCATGGCGCAAGGCCTCAAAGAAAGATTTGACAAGTTTCTCCACGAAAAGAGTCTCGTGACAGATGCTCTCGGTAAAATCGAGGCCAAAACGGGAGTAAACAGGACGTACATCGCTGCGGGTGAGTCCCAAGAACCGGGGATGGACGGAAAGACTGAACTTATCACGGCTTCAGGAAGGAAGTGTAGCTCTTTATCTGAAGGGATTTGTCTGAATAAATTGGCTAATAATGTGTCTAACTTGGTATTGATACAAATGTTCTGTAAGTATTTGGTTAAGGTAGTATATTTTGTTCCAGGTGTGGTCGGTGTCATCGCAATTTATCTGGTCATCGGGTACGGAGCCTCCCTGCTGTGCAACCTCATCGGCTTCCTTTACCCAGCATACATTTCGTGAGTGTGTTCTTCAAACGCAGCTTGCTGAGCAGACGCGCAAACACGTAAACAAAGACTTTCATCACCACACGAGGCGCATGCACACATGCTGTAGGCCACAAAAAGAAATGCTATGTGATTTAGCAAAATAAGCAGATTTATTTACCTTTTTGAGTGATCATATACAGCTAGTTCTTTTGGGTTTTTTTTTTTCACATTAGGCATGCTAACACAAAGAGGTTTATGGTAAATCAAGTTATTTCAATTACAATCATGTATAAATGGTAAAAGTACTGTACTTGTATAGCACCTTTCTGTCTTATCAAGACACTCAAAAGTGCTATACACTACAATCTGTGCCTCATTTACCCATTCATACAGCACTCTACAAGATGGAACAAATCCTTCTAAAGAGACTTATCACATTCATACACCGATGGGACACACATCGGAGGCGATGAGGGGTTCAGTGTCTTGCCCAGGGACACTTCAGCATGTGACTGCTGGTGGATTTGAACCCCCAACTCTTGCATTGGAGGACGACTGCTCTAACCACTCAGCCCTGAATCTATCTGGCTACAAAAGATAAAAGGGAAGTTTTAAAATTCAAAATGTTGTGACATACAACTTCCTGAATTTCTATTGAACAGTGCGAAGAGTTGTCACAGAACTGGTGTCATTTCAGCACATTTTTAAAATTTTCCATGAAACTTTTATAAAAGAAAACGTATGTGCCGATGAATCAAACTGGTTGATTTAGAGAACATGATCTCCCAATCTATTGGGTTGTTCAAAAAGTATTTTGTCTTGCCTGGTAGGAAAATAGTACTGGGTAAATTCAGTGGTTGTGGCTAGAGTACTGCTGAGTCAGCACTCAGAGTAACAGACCTAGACCTTCCAACGTTTTTCAGTCAGGTCACCTGGACAGTTTCTTTTTTTGTGCTGAAACGTTTCACCTTCCATCCAGAAGGCTTCATCAGTCAAAGAAACACACAACAAAACTGATTCTTCCCCCAACCGCTTACTCCAAAGTGGAACAAACCAGTTCTGCTTGTGATAAGATGGTCTCTTTGGTACGCCCCCTCCTCCATTGCCGGCCCTCTTCCTTGTTGACAGCCTTGTCAAACTGGTTGAAAACAACAAAGTCCATGTTCAATAATCCAGGTATACAATCCAACATTTTTCAGTCAGCCTGACCTGACTGAAAAATGTTGGATTGTATACCTGGATTATTGAGCATGGACTTTGTTGTTTTAGACCTAGACCTTGTGTGTTTATCTTTAACAACCCTGGTCCTGTCTGGATTTTCACATGTTCTATTTATCATTATATATATTTTTTTTCATTCCTCACATTGACGGCCTGCAGAAGTGGGTTTGTAGCCCCCAGTGGGCATCAGCATACAGGATGTGGGGAATAAACAACCAGCTGATACGGGTCTTTACATGTTTAGCAGTACTCTGATACTGAGAAACTGCCGTGGAAACAGCTTGTTCTATTTAATGCAAATAAATATCTTTGCTGCCCTTGTACAAAGTACAGAAAAACAAATGGTTTACTCTTTACTGCCATGAAACAGTTTTTCCCTTTTTGCAGTTTTGCTGAAAATCTTCACTTCAGCTTTGTGTGTTTGTCCGCACCGTTGGGTTAGCATCGTCTGTATCCTCATACATGTGCATCAAGGCTACTAAATGGTTTCCATCTTCAAAGAAGGGTCAAAGACTGTACTTAAACTAGTAAAAAAAAAAAAATATATATATATAATTAAAGGAAACTCTGAACAAAGCAAGCACATGGTAAGTGTGTTAAACCATGATCAAAACACTGAAGCGTATGTTTCTGCTCTCGTACTGAGTTAAGAGGCAATAAATACAAATGGGTTTGAGATTAGATTAAAAACAACCAGAGTTTCAGCGTAGGGGCAGTTGGTTCCAGAGGGTCCAACTGCAAGGACTCCACCTCTGGACCACAACCTCATGGTGACTAGCAAACGATCACTGGATCCAAGAGATCTGGAAGCCGGCCATTAGACGCCTTATCTGTATTAAATGATAAAGTCCTAAAACAAGCAGAGAACTGATGAAGGGAATCGAACTCTGGGGAGATGCAGTCACACTTTGTCGTTTGTGAAGCGTTTTGGACCAGCTGCTGGAGGCATGGCTATCTCCAGTCACATGATCCAGTTGGATGTGATAAAGCATGGGTCGCCCTTTCAGTCAACACAACATCATTATTTGACCTGAGACACACCTCACTTTAAATAAATTTACAGCAAACGAAGCAGATTCTCAGAGTTAAACTAAAAAATATCACCCGAATCTGTAATATGGGTTTTTACAAAGCGCTCCAGACTACCCAGTCCTTTTTATGAGGTGCTTCTGGTACCACTGGTCCAAAAATGACGTCAGTTTTATCTTCACTGAAACCAAAGACGTTTAGAGTCGTGCTCGTGGAAAAGAATAATTGTGCTTCAGACGGAGCTGAGATGTTATACACGTAAAAGATGGAGCGTGAAGCAGAACATACTGTTGGTGTAAGAGGAGAAGAGTAGATTGAGGAGTATTCTGAACAAGATTAATAATCTTGGATTAAGAACGCCTCTGCTTTCAGCGATGCCTCACACATCGACTGAAAAACTCATTTGTTCCCAGATCCATTAGTCTTGAAGTCATGGCTATAAGAGGAGGGTGAAGGTGGTTCATTCATTCAACCTTTACTTATCCACGTTAGTCTCACTGAGTCACCACGACTCATTTACAAGAGAGACCTGGCTTTAGTCTTTATTTTAATTCTTTTTTAGTGTTGAACCAGTGGATTCTATTAATTTCCTCCAGGATCAATAAATATATATCCATCTAGCTTAAAAAAAGAATTATTATGAAGCAGTGGTTCACCACAGAGCTCCTCGTTAATCCTCCCGAACACCACCTGAGTCCACTGAACCAGATCTGAGGCACCCTTCTGGATCAGGTCTGTCAGGTTGGCAAATTTCAAAATGAACTTCCTGTAGTTTCCTTATTTGGTCTTTGGCTGCAGCTCTCTTTACTCCAAGCACGATGCCTCCGTCCATCCAGCTGGTGGAGAGCCCAGCCTGCACTCTCTCTCTATGCAACTTCTGAAACGTATTCACTACAACATAAATGCACCATATTTAACTGATGTAACGGAGTTTAGTTGATGATCCTGAGCCCTGACTGGTTCAGTTGAAGCCTCCTGTTGATCCAGTCAGGCGACTCAGAATCCATACCAGCATAGCTTCTCCTCCTCACCAGTCTTTGTTAGCCTAGTCGTTTATGGAAAGCATCAGAGCTGATGTTTTTCTTTCAGCTGCTCCCTTCAACTCGCACAAAGACTTTGAATTTGTAAATATTTCTATTAACATAGAAGGTGCGTACATAGAAAAGACATTTTGACTTTATGTATTTTGTTGTATAAAAATATTCTTGCACCGTCTACTTGCAAAAAAAGGAGCCACACACAAAGACAGATTTTAACCCAGTTTACTTGCAAGGCCAGATGTTCACATACACTGTAGGCTTACACAGATGTTTCATTGAAGCACCGGTCGTGGAGAGCTGCATCGGGCAGTGCACAGGAAGTGTTTTTTAATACACGTTTATCAGCACGATGGCCTCGGCCTCTCCGACTCTGAGGCGTCTGGTGCCTGCAGGCTCCTCTCTGACCTCACACACATTAATTTACCATTAGCAGAGATAAACACCCATAAACCTTTACATAAATTCCCCTGACAGTATTTGCTCTTCCTCTTGGTTTTCAGGATTAAGGCCATTGAAAGCATCTCAAAGGATGATGATACAAAATGGCTGACCTACTGGGTGGTGTACGGACTCTTCAGCGTGGCGGAGTTTTTTGCCGACATCTTCCTCTCCTGGTTCCCTTTCTACTACATTGGAAAGGTAATCCAGCTGGCAAGGCAGCTGAAGCAAGAATACAGCCAGGCTTTTGGTGATTCTCCAGTCTAGTCTAAAAACGTCTGGGTTTTATTAAAGCAGAGCATTTATGATTTTAATAAAGAAAACCAGAGATGATGACCCAGTCACAACTGTCTCACTTTCTAACAACAAAAACAAGTGAAAGAGAGAAGTTTGGACATAATAAAAAGAAGCTTCATTCTGATTGGTGGACAAACCTCTGTCTTCTCTCCCAGTGTGCCTTCCTGGTGTGGTGCATGGCTCCGACTCCTTCGAACGGCTCCATCCAGATTTATCATCGCATAATCCGACCGCTTTTCCTCAAGAACGAAGCCAAGATTGACGACGCCGTGAAGAACATCAAGGATAAAGCATCGGACGCAGCTGACAAATTTAAAGAAGAGGGTATGCTCCGACTGGTTTTACTTCCTGAAAGGAGTTGTGTTCTGGTCCAGGCTTGAATGTTTTCCGTGTCTCTTCGATACAGCTTTGTTCACGTATTGTTATCGATCCATTTTACTTTTAAAGTTCCTTTTAGTTGGAAAGAGGCTCATGAGAAACAAACAAATCATTGTTTGAATGGACAGAAACACTCTTGTAATCCTATTTTAGTCCTTTTTATTAGCTCTAAACATTCTTAGAACGTCACGAGTTTTACCAACAGTTGGCTAATTATTGAAACACCCGTCTTATCCATAAAATCTGTATTTTTTTTCCCCCTCAGCTAAAAAAGCCACAGCAAACATCATCTTTGAGGAGAAGAAGAGCTCTTAGGAATGAGACCTTCCCAAAGTCGCTGAGGAACGCAGAAGAAAACGCCTTGGATGTTGATTTTATGTCGGTGCATTTTGTGTTAACTTAAGCTTTATGTCAGCCTTGTTGCCAATATATATATATCCTGTATCATTAAAGGTCTTTCTACGTATTGATTAGCTTCAGTTCACCATTATCCTCCAGGGTCATTGAGCCCAGGGTTCCTTTACTGTATGCCTCTTAAATAAAATAAATTAACTGAGGTTATCTGTTAATCCTGATTTCTTCCATCGTGGTCTGCGTAAAAAAACAAAACTAATGGAAAAGAAGTGGTGGAAATTAAGCCAAAAAAACCCAAAATAAAACAAAGCACCCCCTTACACCAACAATGCTGAGGAAGTACGACTCCAGTTTGAAGAGTAAAAGCTTCTTCTCAGCACTAAAGTTTGCACAGGTGCATCTTTACCTCTGGAGCACCGTCCTTTGGATAAATGGGACCATGTTTGGTGAAACCACACCAGATTAAACACCTCATGTTAAAGCACGGTCATGGAAGGGCGATGATTTGAGCTTGTTTGGAAGTCACAGACCTGGGCTCCTTACATCATCGAGTCGACTATAAAATCTGTCCAACAGAGGAAGCTTGTCCAGAACCTGAGCCTGACTGATGATGACCCTGATGGAGCTGAGCAGGAACAAATGTCCTCAATGATCTGAAGCGGCGCAGCACATGAGACCAGAGGTTTTTATGTCCCGATTCAAGCGTGGACTTCTTATTTTTGACTAATTTCGTGCATATTTGCCTCAATTTGTCCTCTTGTCAATCCCCAAAAGAGCAATGCCATTTTCAAGAGTGAAGCCCATTTCAATGTAAAGGAGCTGCAGCACCACGATGTGCTGCACGTCACGTTTGAACTCTGTAAGACGTGTTATAGTTTAATTTTACATAAAAACAAACATTTTCATCCTGCAAACATGAAAGCATGTCCAGTGATGTAAAGAAGAGGTCACAATGGGTGGACCTGGATCTGGACTGAGTGATGGTTCTGTCCGGACCCGTGAACTTTCATGGAGCAGTTTTCCAGCGACAGAGCCTGGGTGCAGAGAAGCAGGAGGTGTTTTGGAGGTTCCCTCTACTTCAGGTGTTGCAGTAACAGCATCACTCACTTAATGATCAGTCGAATGTTTAGTTTTCCCTGCATGGTGCAACAAGCTCTCAGAGAAGGAACAGAGAAGAAGAGACAGCATGTCGTGCTCCAAAACAAGAAAAGTTGATGCTGAAAACTGTTTTAAAGATGAACGGACAGAGAAATTAATGTTCATTCTTCTGGCAATCGGTTCAAAACCCGTTTACCTCATGTGCCCATAAACAGTCGCATTAATTAAAAATGACAACACGAAGCCTCTTCATCTCTTCTGAGCAACGTTATCTGCTGAAGTGTGAGCAGAGCGCGGTAAATTAACAACTGGAAGTCCAGCATGACGGATCTACTCATCACAAATACTGTTACAGCCCAGCAGCTGCTCAATGTTCACGCAACGTATCGTGGATTTTGGAGCAACGTAAAAAAAACATTTAGTGACGGGACAGTCCTGAAGGAAGTGCTTAAAAGCTGTTGATGAGACTTTAGATGGAAAATAAAAATCTGTGTGGAAAAAATCAATCAAATCCCGACATCAGCTTCAACGGCAAGCAGAAATCTTATCAGATGTGCTGGCACAGCTGGATGCAGCTGTTCAGTCATTGATGAGTCTACAGATGTTACTGATGATGCTCATGAGAATGACTCTGACTCCAACCAAGATTTAAATTACTGGCAGGACAATCCCATTTATCTCATTAAGTAAATTAAAGAATCAGTTTTCAGTTTTTTTCCCAAAAGAGACATTTTTATTTATTGTTTTCCGAAGATGCTGACACGTTTTACTTGAAAACTTTAATTTTTATAGGTTGGCGTCTCTTTAAGCAAAAAAGAAAAAGTTTACTTGCTCTGTTTGCACTTTTTTTTTTTATACTAAAAAAGCCACTTTATTATTTTCTGTTTTCTAAAGATGTAAACTATTTTTTTATTTTTACTTTAAGTGTAAACCATCCGTTCTTTAGGCGTGGACCTCTTCAATTGAAGAGAAAAAGGCTTATTAGGTTCTGTTTGCACATTGAAGATGTATTTTATTATGAGCTTTCAGCTTTAATCTGAAATAAAGGCCTTAAATGTATTTGTCTGGGACAACTTTTAAATACGGAGCTAGTTGTTTACTATAAAGTGCGAACAGTGAAAATATGTAGACAAGACCATAAAAGTCAAACATTCGACTCGACCCTTTTACCAGGATGCACTTTCACCTCAGTGAGTTGTGATCGACAGCCCTGCTGTAAAGGGATGTGCATTGTATTCATCGGGTTTAGCTTCTCTTTGGTGCAGCAGGTGTGAAGTGGAGCTGGTTTTCTGGAGAAACAGCATTAAAATGATTTTTCACCCAAAGGCTGATCGTTTCCAAGAGGAATGCAGATCATCTGCTGCCTTCAAGTCCAAGTGTAGACCAAGATCTCGTGTTGCGAAAAGACAAGTGCAGCCGTTTCTGGTCAAAACTTAAATAACATTAAACACAATCTCATATATATATATATATATATATATATATATATATATAGATGTCGCCCTCAGAGTATCTGTTGTGAACGACTCTCAGCTACTACCACATTAAATTTTAGTCCAACATGCAAACGTGACAGAATGACCATTTTTGTTCCAAGGTAAGGTTAATTACTCTCATTACAATTCTTTTTGTCATTCTAAGGTACTGAGCATAGATTATTAATAGAAAATAATTTTAAACATTATTACAGTATCAATTTGCAACATAAAATTTCATTAAGTCAGAAAATGTTTTAAATCCAGAATTTCTTAAAGGTATATAAGAAGATTAAAGCTACTAGAAAAAATAATAATTCAGTATTCTGAGAAAAGTCATAATAAAAAAAAAAAAACTAAATACATTTTTACCCCAGTGGCCCTAATCCTCGACTGTAAATATGCATAATCCCATCAGATTTACACAAAAAAGACAAAAGTGTTTACTCTCAGAACTGAATTCATGAACTTTGTTGGAGAGAACGATTAGAAACGAGCTCAGCGAGTGATTTTAGTAGTTTTATAAACAACTTTATAAAACGATTCATAAAAATCCATGCACTTTCAGTGTAAATTCATTTGGAAATATAGAAAAAATATATTTACAGGTTTGAACCATAACAGTGACTTCATTCAGTTGGGTGGTTCACAAAGAATATACTTGGCTGCATAGAAACATTGACATTATTATTATTATTGCCTATATGGAAAATAAACGGAAAAATAGAAAATAGAAGCAGTCTAGTTGATTTGAACTCTATCAGGTGCTCGTCTGTTTATTCATACTGTACATCTATGACTCCAGCCACTGATTCAACACGCTGAGCACAACTAAGTACTAGTGAAAAAGTAAAAAAAAAAAAAAAAAAACTTTCCCTTAAAAAATTACATTCTGAACATTATGGAAAAAAAAAAAAAAAAAAAACTATTAAATGGAAATTCACTCACATAGTGACAAAAAGCCTGAGTTGAGAGGGAAAGTATAGTCATAAATTCAAAAAGCCTGAGGAAACAGTACACTGATTTACTATTTTACACAAAGAAAAACAAAGAAAATTTAAAGGTTATGTAATTTTACACCCAAGATATGTTATTAAATAATTTGCTGGTGGGGGAGGAGAAATGAAAACCTGCTGAAGAGATGAGAATTGCTGTATATGAGGTACTCCAGGTGTCGAGCCTGAGTCTGTTCCACAGCTCCTGGGACTTCTGATGCAGGAAACAGTTTAAATAAAGACAGGACAGTGGGACGGGACGAGCACCGAGACGGTCCAGTGTCCGTGGGAAGATGAGGCAGCATTCAGGGTCTGTTGTGTTCGTTTACGAAGTCCAAACCCCCCCACCCATATACAATTAAAAGAAGCTGTTGTCAGCCTCAGAGCCTTAAAACACAACAATAAACTCTTAAATACAAAAGTAACTTTAGATTTTTTTTTTTATTTAAAGTTGCTGCCTGCTTGAAGCTACTTCTTTTTTAAAGTGTTGGTGTTTTTCCGGGGTCCTCACGTGCTGAAGTGAAGACAGGAACAGTCGAGCTGAACTGACCGACAGTGCTTTGAACAGTTTGAAGTCTGGGGGTCCACAGTTACTTTAAGGCATTTCCTGTGTTGCTGAGTCTATGGCTGCTGCGAGCAGGCCCAGGCAGCTGCTGCTATGTCTTGCGGCTGCTCCAGATCTGCTCCGGCGGACTCCTGTGGTCTGACGAGTATTCGTACGGCGAGTGATATCCCATGGGTGAGCGAGAGTCACAAGGTGAGCGCTGGTCTCGGGGGGAGCGGGCCCCACTCCCCGACACTCGCAGGTCTGTCTGCCAGTCCGAGTGGTAGCGGTTGTACGAGCGGTGGTCTGAATGAGAAAGGTCCTTCTGGTCCAGCCGATGGTCTCTGCCGGTACGGACTTCCTCCAGTTTCCTGTGTTTGCTGTCGTAATATCTGCATGAACACGAGTCAGTGTTACTGAGCATCAAGGTGCACGAATTAAAACAACAGGACCATTACGTCAACAACTATTCCTCCAGATTATAGAGCCTCGCTGGACTTATCAGTTCTGTCCGGCTCGTTAATCACATTAGAGCGGTCGTTTATTTATCCTTCTGACAACTGTTGACAGTTTACTGGTACTCCAGCTTTCAAATGAAAGATGCAACGTTTCTATAATTTATTTATTTTTATTTTATTAACCCATCCAGAGGACCCGACTTCACTTTTTTACATTTTTCTGCCTAGATTATTGAGCATGCATCAGGATACTGGTGCTCCAGTTTCCTCCCACAGACCAAAAACATGCATGTTAGTCTGACTGGTAACTCTAAATTATCCCTAAGTGTGAGCGAGTGTGAACGGTTGTTTGTCTCGTTTGTCTCCGTGTGTCCCTGTGAAGGACTGGAGACCCGTCCAGGGTGTCCCCGTCCTCACGAAGCGACTGCTAAAAATGAGCACCAGCGACCCAGAAAAGAAGGAGCAGGTAAAGATAACGGATGGAAACTTGATCCTATTTGCATCTTGGTGCAGATTTAATCCAAGCTGCTCATCTCATGATGTCAAATGATGAATCAAGTAAGTGACATTTAACAATAAGACCAGGTGATGTCTGTTAGTGCTCAGAGCATGTGTGGAGCATGAGGCTCAGCTTTTACCACATCTGTACGTTGGGGAAGATTCTCAGTCATCCAGGACACGGTAAATCTGGAAAAAAGTTAAAAACAAAACAACTGGAGTTCATTTTGAACTGAAGACGTTTCACTTCAGAGGAGGAAGCTCCTCGCATGAGAAACGAGACGCCTTCAGTTCAAAATGAACTCCAGTGCTTTTGTTTTCAACCTTTTTTTTTTGGATTCACCACATCTGTAAAACGCACCTACACCTACCATTATACAAGCAGGACGCCCCGCCCTGTCAACAGAACCGAGCACCCTGCCTCCCGAACTGCAATACAGACGAGCTAGATAAAAAGCTAGAGGTAGCGCTCAGTTATTCTCACGCTGAACCGTTCCCCCGACGCCCCCCACCCTGGCTCAAAACCTGTACCGTATTTTCCAGCGTATAAGTCACACAAGTCCTGCAACTTATACACTGAAGCAACTAATAGATATTTATAATCCAGTTTATGTCTGAGCTCTGATGATTTCATTCATTGTCATAAAAAATAGTGAACACTACCATTTTCAGTCACTAGAGGGCCATCGAGTGTTATGGCAAGCCAAGTGTCTCATTAATAGGTAAAAGTGGTTATTAATGAGACACTTGGCTTGCCATACAGAGCCACCTTCAGCCCTGATATTTGACCATTAAAGAGCATTTATGAAGGAAAAGTTCAACAGAGACACACCTTTCCTATAATTTCGAACAAACAAATAATTGTTTTTAAGTGTTAGTCTTGTTAAATTCTTGCTAAAGTCCTCCTGTACACGCTCCTGCGGTCGCCATTTTGGCAACCAATAGAGTTTTGGCACAACACCGGCACACATTTCTGGGTGGTCAGCGGTGAAGCATAACAAACGTGACGTGTCAGCGGTGATGCATAATAGATGCGAATTGTACGGTGGAAAATACGGTAGGTACAGAGTGCAACACAGATGTGTCTCGGTCTCCACCCCACCCTCCCAACAAGAATCACAGAAGAGATGAGCACCCTGCCGTACCGTAATGTAGGGGAACACTGTAAGCTATAACCATTTTTTGTTTACTAAAGCTGATAAGCTGCAGTGACCATCATCATTGCCCTTTCACTTTCAGCGACGAGCATTTATAACTAAAACTAACTATTCATCAACTACATCCTCTGAGTTTGGTTACAAATCAAAAACGAAGGGGAGAGAGAGAGAGATATGACGATTAAACTTAGTCCAAGTGTGTCGGAGAGACAAACAAACATATTCAACATTCATTCATTCAACCTTTATTTTGACAGGTTAATCCCATTGAGCCTCGGGGACTCATTTACAAGAGACACCTGATTTCAACATGTTTGTGAAAAAGAAATCCCTTCTCGTCTCACCTGTCCTGTCTGTCCCTGTTGTCTGCTCTATAGTGGTCTCTGTCCCGGTGGTCTTTGCCGTTGCTGAAGGAGGAGTAGGGCCTTTTCCTGGATTCGCCCGTTGGGGTCTTCTTGTGGGACTCGAAGCTGTGCCTCTCTTTACCGCTGCTGCTGTCGTGGTGTCGAGCTGAAGGCTGATGCCTGTCGGAGCTGTAGCTGTCCCTGCTGCTGTCGTCATGGTGAGAGCTGTCCTTCAACCGTTCAACATCTGAGGACAAGACAAACACACACATGTACCAAGATCTGCGGGATCGTCCTCGCTTTTTGTTTTGTGTTAAAAGCATTTCACCTACCAAGATGTTTAAAGCCTTGAGTGTTTATATGTCTAGTGTTCTGCTCCATTGCCTGTGGAAAGAGTAAATATCGTGGATGTTCACGTCTTTCTAGATCGTAAGAAGAAATACTTCGTGGTCTTTAAATACCTGAGCATTCTCTTGTCTTTTCTTGATCGCGTGCTTGTACAATTTATGCAGCTTCCTCGCATCAAACTCAGTAAATTTAGAAACAAATATCCACAGATTTCTGTAAAGAACACCACAAACACATTTAGATCATTTGAACCACCTTAAAGCAAAGATAAACGTGTTCTTAGTTAAAACAGTGAGTTGATCTGAAGACACGGAGTAAACTAACTTCCTCCATTGTTTGATCTGGTCAGGGTTTGAGTACTCCTTCAGGCACTCTGTGATGTGGTCTCCGATGTTTATGAGACATTGTCTGGTGTGTTCCAGCTGCTCACGCTCTGACAGACCCTTCTCCGGTCTGTCCAGCTGCTTCAAGGCAGCTTTCACCGGCCGCATCCTCTCTTTACACTGCAACAAAACAAAAGCACAACTCGATTAACTTGAATCACTCTCTTTTTTTAAAACACACAAAATGACACGCATGTGAAAAAGAAGATTCACCCTGTTTTAATTCTAAGGTTTTACTTATCAGGACATAATAAAAATGATCTGGTCTTAAGAGAGACCTGTCTTAAACAAAGAACACAGATGAAGTACACGCAACTGTAAAATGCAACTTAAATAAAAGTAGTGATATATACAGTAAAATCAAGGTGCCTTATAAACAAGGTAAAATACTCAAAACAAGAACATATTTGCTTTGATTTTTCTAATGCGTAAAATGCGTCGTGGCTTTTCACTGGTCTGGAGCACACGGGTGTGTTAACACAACGCCAGAGCGGAAAGACGTCTGCAGTGAAACAGCTGCTGCGTGAGACTGTTTGTAAAACCACTTCAGAGTCCATCCATAAGAAGAGAACATTTAAAAAAAGCTGCTAATTTTTCCAGGAGTGGACGTCCCACCAAATTCACCCGAAGGTCAGACTGTGCAACCCTCAGCCAAATAAGGCTCAACAGACTCCGCAGTCCTCAGCAGATCACAGTTCGTGAGAGGATAACATGAAAAAGACTGAACTAACATGACGGGCTTATGAATAATTTTTCTACCAGACTCCACAGGTGTCATTTCAAGCACAGCTACCCACTCACAATGAATACATCAGTAAAATGACATGGTTTGGGACTGTTTTATTATTTACAATGTGTATTTGAACCAGTCAACGTACCACACTGAAGGTCCTCTGGTCCAGTTCCTCAGACTCCTCAGACCCTGGCATGTTTTCTGCGTTCGTTACTTTATGGACAGACAAGTCTGAGGCTTTCTTTATCCGGTCGTGTACCTCGGTCTTCACTTCAATCTGATTAAGACAGTATATTAGAGACAATTCTAGTTTGACTTTTCATTTATCCAGAGTAGAGATGCACCAATCCAATACCAATATCGGTATCAGTACAGAGAAAAAAACACACACTTCTGGATCGGGTATCGGTGACAATGTGACCGATCCATGACTGTGCAGATCTATTCACTCTAATTCTGAGCTTTGTGCTCTGAGTGACGCCACGCGCTAGCGTACTGACTGATCAAATTAAAGTTGTGTTGTTTTTACATGTTTGACTGAGCTTGTGAAGCTCTTGGTGTGTTTGTGTGCTGTTCTGGTGCAGTTTTCAATAAATTATTAATTCAGTAAGTTCATGTCTGCATTTAACAGAACAAACGTTTTAAGTTAATTCAGCACTGGGTTTGTAAGCTCAAACATCCAGGTAGACAACAAAAATGGCTAAATCGTGTCATCTGGACCAGTTTCTGAAACGGGTCCAGATGACATGATTTAGCCATTTTTGTTAATTCAGCACAGTTTTCTGTATCGGATCGGTATCGACAGAGGCTAAACTGCAAGTGTTGGCATTGGATCGGTATCGACAGATGCGAAACTACAAGTGTTGGTATCGGATCGCCATCGACATGCTAAACTACGGGTGTTGCTATCGGTATCGACAGACAACAACAGGCAAGTGTTGGTATCGGATCGCTATTGACAGACGGCAAACTACAGGTGTTGGTATCGGATCGGTATCGACAGACGACAAACTACAGGTGTTGGCATCGGATCGGTATCGACAGACGTCAAACGACGGGCGTTGGTATCGACAGACGCCAAACGACGGGCGTTGGTATCGACAGACACTAAACCATAAGTGTTGGTATCGGATCGGTATAGACAGATGCCAAACTACGGGCGTTGGTATCGACAGATACTAAACTATAGGTGTTGGTATCGGATCGGTATAGACAGATGCCAAACTACGGGCGTTGGTATCGACAGATACTAAACTACAAGTGTCGATATCGGATCGCTATCGTCAGACGCTAAACGACAGGTGTTGTTATCGGATCGGAAGTGGAGAAAAAAAAGTGGATCGGTGCAGCCCTAATCCAGAGTATAATTCTTGATGCTTCTCATTGTTTAAACTTCTCTCACCTTGTCGGTGCCCTCCTCTTGTCTATGTTTTGTCTGAAGAGCCACGATTTCTTTCTTTTCTTTGGACTCTTTTATGTCTTTAAAGTCACAACTTTCATCCTTCTCTTTCTTTCCATCCTTTTCTTTGACATCTCTCTCCACCGATGAGAAAACGTCCTGCTCGTCCTCCTCATCATTATCCTCCTCTTTCTCCTCCTTCACCACCATCTTGTCTGCTCGGGCCCATCTGCTCGATATCTTCACCTGTGCCACCTCCTGAAGGGATCAGACCTCGTCACCTCAACCGACCAACTACTTAAGGCATTGTGTGATGAAACCAAGGTTACCTTGTCGTCGTCCTCGTCGAGCTCATCCTCGTCTTCTGACCTCTTGTCTGACTGGAGATCTGAAGATGGGCTCTTTGTCACCTCGTCTGCCTTAGTCGTCTTTAGAGCTTTGCTCTTTTTACTTCTTGGTTTCCTCTTCCGTGAATTTGCCTACATACAAACAAATGATTTATCCTTGTAGACACGAACTTAAATCTATTATTAGGAACAAAACTGTCCCAAAGCAAACACTCCTTCAAGTCGAGCAGCGATACAAAATAATTTCCTCCGAGACTCACGGTTCCAGCTTGTTTCTGTGCTTCTCTTTTGGCCAAGTCTTTGCACAGTAATTTGATGAGGTAGTCAGCTCTGGCCTGGAGCTGTTTGGCCTGAGGCTTCTTGTCGGGATCATCTGGTAGAAGCTGATCAATAATAGATGAAACACATAGTGACTGTCATTAGAAATGCATTAGAGTTCAGTGGAGCAATAGGTAAGAATCACTAATGAAGGACTATCAATAAATGAAAAGGCTGATGCTGTTTTGTTTTAGTGTATTTTTTTGGGTGCTGGATTTAAAAAAAAAAAACCAAGAAGCCATTATTGTTGTTAAAACGGTCAGAAATCCTGAACTCACCTTGTGTGTGAGATTTCGGTCCGGGTCCATCTTTATCATCTCCCAGCTGCCATAACCGTATTCATAGATTCCTATGAGAAGACTGGAGTCGTCCTCCTTCCCCCACTCGATGTCGAAGTGTGCTGCCTTCGAGTGGCACGGAATCATATACCTGAACAAACACAGTTAAGATCCTGTCAATACAAACTGCAATTAAACTTTTTATGGGATTTACACACTTGCAAAAGCTTAAACTAAACCAGTTAAATCTAATGTTTGTTTCCAACTTGTCGTAAAGTTTGATCTTACCTGCAGAGTAATTTAGACTTTTATTGACTTTAGTCTTTTCTGTAGTAGGTTTAGTTGTATACTTTTGAAGTGTCAGCTGTTGTATAGTTTTATATCCTACCTTCAAACAAGCCAATAGTGAACAAATAAAACTCTTGAATAATAAAAATGTGAATTAAAATAAGCAACAGATCCTGCTCTATCGTGAACAAACCACAAGCTTCAGACCTTCAGCTTCTTTCTGTTGGTTCTGCTCAGTTTGGTCAAATAAGCAGATTGCCTTAAACGTAATAACATCTCAGACAAACTGCACCTACAATTTAAGAGTTCCCAGAACAGGAGTGAGCACTTTTTCTTCAACCTGGATCTGAGCTGCACAGGCCAACAAACTTTCAGAGCAATTTTGCATGTAAGCAGAGACAATACAGCTACAAACTGTAACTCGAGTATTTTACTTAGATACTGCTTTTGCTGTAACTTGCGACTTGTGTCGTTCAAACCTGTGTTTACAAGACAAAGAGCAGCTAGAAAAGGACCTATTTTAAAAGACGCACAGTCGAGTGCTCGGTGCAGAAACTTTACCTTTTCCTCTCCTCGGGATCAGCAGGAATGGCCTTATGCAGCGGAGCCAGCTCTTCTTCATGAGAAATAACAAGCTTAGCATTAACCTGGACGCCAGAAATTCTGAATGTAGGACCTTTCACCTTTCCCCTCCTGCCTCCTGGAGATCAAATCACAAGAAAAACAGGAATGATTGATTTATTTATCATCTAAAACTTCTGTAATCTGGATGAAGCAGCAGTTCATGAAGGTGGTTTACATTTACTGGCATATTGCACTGACAGTTGACTACTGTAAAGATTTTTCATTTTATTTATTGAAAATACATTGAAATAAAACAGTCTTTCTCTAGACTTAATGAGTGTCTGTGGAATAAGGATGTTTTAAATTCTGATTGCTCTTGATCCTTTGGGATATCTTCTTCATAATGGCACGTAATTAAACAAACCACGGGAGGATTGAGAGGAGCTATCACGATACAAAGGACCTACTTTTTACATGCCTCATCAAAGAGCTCATCAGTGATTCTCCCAGAAATTCTGACCACACAAGCTGCTCAGATACATCATGTGTAACATTCAAGGACACGATGAGGTTCATAATGCTCTCATCAAAGCATCCACTGACTGGGAGTAGGCCTGTCACGATAACTAATTTTGCTGGGCGATTAATTGTCTCGGAAATTATTGCGATAAACGATAATATTGTTTGAAATTTGACAATAAATAGTAATTATTGTCAAATTTAAGAAGAAATGTTTATTTGTTTTGTGTGTAGTACCTTTTTTGACCACGAGATGGCAGTATAAGACAGTTAGAACCTAAGGGTGGATACCCAACATTTTTCAGTCAGGTCATCTGGACAGTTTATTTTTTGTGCTGAAACGTTTCGCCTTCGATCCGGAAGGCTTCATCAGTCAAGGAAACACACAACAAAACTGATTCTTCCCCCAACAGCTTCCTCCAAAGTGGAACAAACCAGTTCTGCTTGTGATAAGATGGTCTCTTTGGTACGCCCCCTCCTTCATTGCCGGCCCTCTTCTTTGTTGACAGTCTTGTCAAACTGGTTGAAAACAACAAAGTCCTGACTGAAAAATGTTGGATTGTATACCTGGATTATTGAGCATGGACTTTGTTCTAAGGATGGGTAGTGAGGGAGTGAGCAGTGTGTCTCTTTAAGAAAAATGGGAGGGAGACTCCTTGACGTGACACGGGCTGTGTCTCTTCGGTTCTCAAAATGGTGGACGCTCGGTGTGGTTTGAGCTCTTTAGCGTAGCATTTGTCACGCAAAGCTTTTATTAAAAATCAGCTTCTTTTTGCAGAGAAAACAACTATTTACACGAAGGCACAGGTTTCAACCGCGAATTTTGCTGCTTCGACAAGACGGAGGTTTTTTCCCCCCCGAGGTCGGCCTGTTAGCTTAGCTCGTAGCTTATCTTCTCAGCTTAGCTGCTTTTAACGATCCAAAAATGCAATTTTGGATCGTTAAAATGGATTTTAAAGAGAAAAGAGAAAGAAGAAGAGCACTGGAGTTGAGCCTTTTGTCATCCAGTGCCTTCAGTAGAAAGAGAGAGACAAGAAGAAACGATAAAGCCGATAAATGAAAATGAGGTGGATAATTTTCATTTATCATGCGATTAACTGATTTATTGTTTATTGCGACAGGACTAACTGGGAGATGACGACATGAATCAAATTCCGACATCTCTCCTGAGAAAACCTATTCTTGTAGTCAAGAGATCTTGAGTGATGTAGATTCCCACACAGTTTGTGCTGTTGACCCTTGTCATAGCGCAGCCCACTGCTAAGCTTCAAGTAAAGTTGATTCAACATCATCCTTCAGGTATGTTAGCAAAGATAAAGTTGACAAGTTTAATACAAGAAGTCCATCAGTAAATAGCATCTGTAGCTGAATCTGCTTGAAGTGGATATTTGTAGACTTGAGGTTTACACCCGTGTCTTCTACTGTATGAAGAAAACAGTTTTTTACGCATAAGCAGTTTAATTGGATTTTTTTTAAAAATCTGAATTACCTGATGACTTCTCTGGTCCACAGGGGTTTTCACGCAGAGTTCTCACACATCCATTGTGGACAGTTTCTGCCAAGCGTTTCAGGTCGTGTTCAGACTTATCCACAAGTTCAGCATCACGAGCAATGGCATCCAATCTGAGTCCAAACAACATGTGTTGAGCAGACTACCTAGTGTTATTTATAAAACTCTTGAAACCAACTTACCTCTCCAGTGGTCCCCCAAATTTCTTGTAGCTCTTGACAAACCTGTCAAACGTTCGAGGGATGAGTTAATTTGAGTATGACAGGAAGAGTCTCTCAACAGCTACTAGTGTTGTAAAATATTAAATCTACAAACTTGATGTTAATTTTAGAAGGATAACAACACCGATGCTGATGCTGCAGAGAGAAAACGATGAAATAAGGTAAATATTTCTTAATAAGCTGCTTTCTCTTGTGTCTGACCGAGTTGTGGAGCAGATGAAAACAGCTGCTGGCAGTGATAAATAATGATCCATCGTTAAAAACTAACATTTTAGCATTGCAGTGAAATGTTTTGAGGAGTCTTGTAAAATGAACTGTAAAAATATTTGCATGTGGTAGTAAAGATCTTCACCTGCGGATCTCTGCATCAGTAAAGCCCTTGATATTTTCCCGTGGAATGGTCCGAGGTCGTCCTCGTTTTTTTGGTCTCTTTCGGTCCGAGGCGGAGTCACTATCAGAACCAGAATATCTCCTGTTCCTGCTCAGCCGACTCACATTGGAGTTAAAGCTTATCTGTTGGCACAAAGAGTGAAAAATCATCAGATAGTTCAATAAGAAACTGCAACGCACAAAGAAATAAATACCTTTGCCATAAAAAAAAGACCAATGTGTGCCTCTAAAGAAATAAGTTCAGATCATTTCAACACAACTTTTATTTGGCATGGCTCCCTCTGATGCGTACCTGTTTGGCACAATTCCTCATGCGTGGTAATAGGTATATTTCTTCCAGCTCTTTTTGTCGCTCTTCTTCCTCCATCCTCCTCCGTTGCTCTTCAGGAATGATGTCATCCCAGCTCCTTTGACTTCGCTCAGAGTCGATATCTAGATCGTCCTCCTCCATCACAGTGAAGTTGGCAACCTGCATCAGACAGGCCAACAAACAAACGTAAGTGATCAGTTGCTAAAAACCAACAAAACCATCTCAGGATGTTTCATTTTCTCACCTTGAACTGAGACAGCAGCTCTTCTCCTACAGTGGAAGGTCCAGGGTCGTTCTCCCTGGTCTCGGCCCTTTTGAGGATTTCATCGATGTCCATTTCCTACAAATAAAAACACAAGAATTTAAATTAAACCATTTTTAAACAGAAGTGTGCGCAAACATGCTTATTAAATTATTAATTTACGTTATTCAGCAACACCAGGAATAGCTACAAAATGTCACCTAAACGTGGCATTTTTTTTTATGTTTGATTTCACTAAATAACATAATAATCAGTAAAGTCGTTAAAAAAAAAAAAAAGTCTCCAGTCAGATACCATCTAAACCAGATTCCCAACTGGAGGGTTGAGACCCAAATGTGGGTCGCTGTCTTTTGCCTGAGCAAAAAACATTAAAAATAAAACATTGACATTCTGATCGTCATGTCTGATTTATGGATAATAATTGAATAAACGACTGAAAAATAAATTATATGCACTCAACGGGTGTGTACTCGGCTAAAGCTACACAATCCACAACATCTCAGTAGTGGAAGTTTATTTTATGATCGTGTACGAAAGCACTGCCTAGTCTGTTCAAAAAGGCTAAAGTTAGAAAAAGTGTTTTGGGGAATAGAATATAAAAAGGGAATATTAGTGTCACCACTTGCTGGTCATTTTGGCTTCTCGTTGAACGTATGGGTTTTTTGTCTGTGGTGGGATTCTGTAACATGCTATTCAACTACCTCAGGCCCAAACTGCACCATCTTTTCATTCAATAAAGTTGAGGAATTGAACATTTTCCTCAATTTGCATCATGACTTGTCATTAAAGGGTGATGAAGACGACCAGTTGAGAGCCACTACTGTGCAGTCCCTGACTGACAGTGAAACAAGTTACTGACAACCAGGGTTAGGCAAAAGAAACTCCAAAACAAAAAGTGCCAGTATAACCCAAAGTTATAATAAAGCAGGTCAGACTGCAGGATAAATGTCTTCAGCCAGAGGCTTCTTCAGATCTGCTGTAAGACGGACAAGAGATCCTTCCTGCCCACAGCATCAGCATCTAGAACAACTCTTTAATGAAACCAGGATGATGAGTCACAACATTTAACTTACCTCTGGGATTAATAAAGTATTTTTGAATTGAATTCAAGTAGAAACAAGAGAAAATATGTAGTCATGGCAGACCACAACAACTACAATGAGGACATGCCACAAAGTACCTACAACAACTCTTTAGAGAAAAAACGTGGAATGAGAGTGAGAAAAAATAACTCGGGATTTTACAGAAAATTCAAGACTATAAAAGAAAATTAACCAAAGGCTGGAAATCAGGTTGCTGTTTGTCCAATCTGAACAGAGCTGAGGTGAAAGACTAAAATATGTATTTGACATAAACATCACAACTTCAATCTACAGCTGCGACCAAAACAATATGCAACAACCCACAAATATTGAATGAACTTGTGAAAAACAAACAGGTTTGATATATTTCAAGACATATTTCACAATAAAACATTACGTGTACTACTCCGACCCTCATTGTGTAATGTCTCCTGTGAACTGATTAGTTCTTTTCTTTTTCTTAAAAAACAAAGATAGATGAAGGATCGGGGTTGGGGGACAAAAGACAAATGACTCCTCTCTTCCTTTCACCCTCCAAAATATTCAGAGGAACTCGAGGTTCTAAAAGCAGTAGTTTCTGAAAGTTTTCTACAAACCGGATTCCAAAAAAGTTGGGACACTAAACAAATTGTGAATAAAAACTGAATGCAATGATGTGGAGGTGCCAACATCTAATATTTTATTCAGAATAGAACTCAAATCATAGATCAAAAGTTTAAACTGAGAGAATGTATCATTTTAAGGGAAAAATCTGTTGTTTCCAAACTTCATGGCATCAACAAATCCCAAAAAAGTTGAGACAAGTCCATTTTTACCACTGTGTGGCATCCCCCCTTCTTCTTACAACACTCAACAGACGTCTGGGGACAGAGGAGACCAGTTTCTCAAGTTTAGAAATAGGAATGCTCTCCCATTCATGTCTAATACAGGCCTCTAACTGTTCAATCGTCTTGGGCCTTCTTTGTCGCACCTTCCTCTTTATGATGCGCCAAATGTTCTCTATAGGTGAAAGATCTGGACTGCAGGCTGGCCATTTCAGTACCCGGATCCTTCTCCTACGTAGCCATGATGTTGTGATTGCTGCAGAATGTGGTCTGGCATTATCGTGTTGAAAAATGCAGGGTCTTCCCTGAAAGAGATGACGTCTAGATGGGAGCATATGTTGTTCTAGAACCTGAACATAGTTCTCTGCATTAATGGTGCCTTTCCAGACATGCAAGCTGCCCATGCCACAAGCACTCATGCAACCCCATACCATCAGTGATGCAGGTTTCTGAACGGAGCGTTGATAACAACTTGGGCTATCCTTGTCCTCTCTGGTCCGGATGACATGGCGTCCCAGTGTTCCATAAAGAACTTCAAATCGTGACTCATCTGACAACAGAACAGTCTTCCATTTTGCCACACTCCATTTTAAATGACCCCTGGCCCAGTGCAAACGTCTAAGCTTGTGGGGCTTGCTTAGAAATGGCTTCCTCTTTGCACTGTAGAGTTTCAGATGGCAACAGCAGATGGCACGGTGGATTGTGTTCACTGACAATGCTTTCTGGAAGTATTCCTGAGCCCATTCTGTTATTTCCTTGACAGTGGCATTCCTGTTTGAGGTGCAGTGACGTTTAAGGGCCCGGAGATCACGAGCATCCAGTAGTTTTACGGCCTTGACCCTTGCGCACGGCGATTGTTCCAGATTCTCTGAATCTTTTGATGATGTTATGCACGGTTGATGATGATAACTTAAAAGTCTTTGCTATTTTACTCTGGGTAACACCATTCTGGTATTGCTGCACTATCTGTCTGCGCAACAATGGTGGAATTGGTGATCTTCTTACCATCTTGGCTTCTGAGAGACACTGACACTCTGAGAAGCTCTTTTTATACCAATCATGTTGTCAATTGACCTAATTAGTGTTAATTGGTCTTCCAGCTGTTCATTATATGCTCAATTTCCTTTTTCCAGCCACTTATTGCTACTTGTCCCAACTTTTTTGGGATTTGTTGACACTGTGAAATTTTGAATCAACATATTTTTCCTTTAAAATGTTACATTTACTCAGATTAAACTTTTGATCTGTCATCTGTGTTATATTACGAATAAAATATTGACATTTGCCATCTTCACATCATTGCATTCAGTCTTTATTCACAATTTGTTTAGTGTCCCAACTTTTTTGGAATCCGGTTTGTAAAAACTTTCCAGCTTTGACTCTGAACGAGTCAGAACAAAAAGTTGTCTTTTCTACAGCAGAGTGGTCATAAACAACGAAGACATACTGGATACACATCAGGCTTATTCAGAAGACAGTTACACAACACGGCTGCACGGAGGGTTAATATGTTTGTTTAATGTGTGTCTGACATTTCCCTCATGACATTTACTAAAATGAATTAACTCACTTTACTGGTCCTGTTTGTGGTTAACTACTATTTTAAACTACATAGTTGCTGTGTGTCTTCAATATTCCTTTGGTATTAAATCAGTTTGCTGTTGTTTAATCCCACAGGCTGCTGCAACTAATCTCTTGAGTTCATCACATTAATGAGCCGCAGCTCCTTCTGTTTATTTTGTTTCGACACACGTTGGTCAGCTCAGCCATGTGACTATTTCCCTCGGTGGCACAGAGGCGCATCAGAGGGCTGACTCCGACACCCCCCCCCCCCCCCCCCGCCTCAGTGTTTTCTGAATGGACCGAGCTGACCAGAACACGTCTCAGTCCCGGACTGCGTGAATGAGGCTACAGTTTCACCTCACTTGCCCATTTTTTTATTTGTACTTCTAGTAAACGAAGCTGTACAACACTGCCAATCCAAAATTAGAAAAACACACCTGAGGCTCCTGCTCTTCACCCTCTGGCTCTTTGAAAAGCTCCTCAGCACCAAATTTCAAAATGGCAGAGAGCTCCTCCTTGCTGAAAGGCGCTGAACTGTTGAAGGAAAACATATTGAAGTTGAATACGGTGATGTACAATTGTGGTGATTTTATCTGGCAGCTCTAAAAGCCTTCATGAGGACAACAAGCACAAAAAACAGGTGCCAAAATGTGTTGTTTACCTTGAGGGAGCTGCACCTGTATGAAGGACAGTTTTTCCTGTGGTATCCATTCTTTGAATGACAAGATGGTCGAGTACCATTTTCTTTTTTGCCCTTTCAATGATATCCTCCTCCACTGAACTTTTAGTCACCAGTCGATAGATGTTCACCTGCAAGGTCCACAAACAAATATTAAGGCACACATGACCGTCACTGCTATTTTGTAGAGGAACGACGCTCCCTGTAAACTTATTGTTGCCAATCTGACACATAACGAGTTGTAAATTTTGTTCTAAAAGCTTGGATGAATTAAAAAAAAGAAAAAAAAGACTGGTTGCAAAGTGAGAGGTAAAAACTAATGAAACCTTACGACGGTTTGTGCTGACCTGTCTTTTCTGTCCGATCCTGTGGGCTCTGGCTTGAGCCTGCAGATCATTTTGGGGATTCCAGTCCGAGTCAAAGATCACCACTGTGTCAGCCGATGCCAGATTGATACCAAGGCCACCCGCACGCGTGGATAACAAGAAGCAGAAGTCCTAAACACACAAATAAACCCACTTTAGGCAATAGCCATGTTTTATTCTTAGTACACTGTATTCCTTGATACGTTAGGGACGTAACGGTACATGTAAACATTATAGACCATTAAAACTTTGGGGAACACGTTCTTCTTAATTAGCTTTTTGCTAAATGTGATAACAGAAAAGGATTAGAGGAAAATACAAACTACAGCGCTCCGCATCCAATCAAAACAAGAACTGCTGTGGAAGGAAAACAGCAGCTTAAAGACCAGCCTGTTTTTTTATTACTGTTAAACTATGGCAGCAGTGCAGAGGCAGTGCTGGATACACAGAAAGCCAAACTGGTCATAATCTGAGCGCTTTGTGCAATTTTCTTAACAAGACAGTGATGCCTTTCATTTGTACAATTAATTAACGTTTTAGTTTGACACATCGGGTGAATACAACTTTAAACTTATAGTGAAGTCTCCAGTAGATCAATCTTACCATGCTGTACACGGACTTACAGCATCACCACTATAGTTGTTGTTTTTTTTTATCCTCTCTGCTTTGGAGATTTTTTTCGTTTGTTTAAAATAATAAATTAAAAAAACACTTGCAAATGGCATTTCTTTCTTTTTCTTGTGGTCCTGAAACTTTAACAAGAACTCAAAAACGAACGTGTCAAACTGTGATTTTTGTGTACCATTACATCCCTTGCAGTATTTCCCCTACTATTATCCAAGGAGGGCTCCCCCACCTTGTCAACAGCACTGAGCATCCTGCCTACTGAAATCCCCCCCGCTGCAACTTCCACTAACAGTCGGGGCGTGGAGATTGTTGCCAAGAAGCGGTCGTCACAGGAGAAGTGGTTTTGATCTAGTGTTAGTAACATTGTGCTCTGCTAATCCACCCCAGCAGACAACCACCGGCATCAGTAACACAGTGCTCCGTTACCCTCCCGGGTACGCTCCACTCTCTTCTTCTCCATCTGACAAGCGCCCTGCCAAGGTCAGTGCTGTAGAGGAAACACCACCCGATACTCATAACACAAAACTTTACAAACCTCTGAACCTTCGGCATTAAAATGATCCAACGCCTGCTTCCGCATCTCCCCTTTAATGGAACCGTCCAATCTCTACACAAGTACAAAACGTTTTAAATTTAAATGACATAAAAAAACAAGACATTTAACACTTTCCTGAATTTACTTTCACGAAGCAGCTTTTGTGGACAATAAGCATTATGGTCATGTGACAACGGTGTTCAGATACCTGGAAAAGGAACTGCCTACACCGCAAGTATTCAGCCAGAATGTCGAGCATCCGCACCATCTGGGAGAAGATGAGAACTCTGTGACCTCGCTCCTTCAAACGCACAAGTAGTTTGTCCAAAAGAACCAGCTTTCCACTACTGCGGATCAGTTGCTATAAGAAAAAAAAAGTCTGTTAACCATCTATTAAAATGTAAAAACCTCAATTTAAACAGAATCACCTACTGACAATACAGGTCCTTCTCAAAAAATTAGCATATTGTGATAAAGGTCATTATTTTCCATAATGTAATGATAAAAATGAAACTTTCATATATTTCAGATTCATTGCACACCAACTGAAATATTTCAGGTCTTTAATTGTTTTAATACTGATGATTATGGCATACAGCTCATGAAAACCCAAAATGCCTGTCCCAAAAAATGAGCATATTTCATCCCACCAATGAAAGACAAGTGTTTTTAATACAAAAAACGCCAACCTTCAAATAATCATGTTCAGTTATGCACTCAATACTTGGTCGGGAATCCTTTTGCATGAATGACTGTTTCAATGCGGCGTGGCATGGAGACAATCAGCCTGTGGCACTGCTGAGGTGTTATGGAGGCCCAGGATGCTTTGATAGCGGCCTTAAGCTCATCTAGAGTGTTGGGTCTTGCGTCTCTCAACTTTCTCTTCACAATATCCCACAGGTTCTCTATGGGGTTCAGGTCAGGAGAGTTGGCAGGCCAGTTGAGCACAGTAATACCATGGTCAGTAAACCATTTACCAGTGGTTTTGGCACTGTGAGCAGGTGCCAGGTCGTGCTGAAAAATGAAATCTTCATCTCCATAAAGCTTTTCAGCAGATGGAAGCATGAAGTGCTCCAAAATCTCCTGATAGCT